TTTTGCTGTATGGGCTTGGGGTGGGATGTTTGTTGGTTCTATTGTGTTTATTCACCAATTTGTACATTATTTGTTGTCCTTTACTACTGTAAACAGTAAATATGGTTTGGTAAAAAAAAAAAGTTTACATAGAACTGTGCATGATAGATGTCATTTGATATAAGTAAATTCCTGATAAGGTTTTATTCACAGTTGTTCAAGCAAAGATAACTGAAAGTATAATTCCTCTCGGCTAGATGAGCACTCCCACAGCTGGGTGGAGCAGTTTACAGAACTGAGCTTGAGTATGTGAACTGTTAGGCTTAGAAACCCCACACCATGCTCTGCCCTGGGCTTGTGGGTGTTTGATGGTAGGCAGTTCCGAGGTAGTGAGGGCAACTCCTTCAGTGATCTGGGTCTCAATAAAAGGAGATACAGCAGAACAGATTGCATCCAAGCAGATCTTTTGGGGAGGACGGTGAGTCTTACGGTTTTTTTTAAGAAGCTTGGTGCTGGGGATCACCTCAGAGCCTGGAGCTCTCTTCTGCTGATCTATGCTCCCACCCACTATGAGTCTTAATTTCTGTCCTACGTGGAATTATAAGTATCTTCATCAGTCAAATTGCAGCTATATTCAAATCTCTGGGATCTCTTCGTAGAGGGGGATACAGATGCACACATGAGTGGGGTTTCAGAGAGTCAGAAAGGGCTAAAAGTAAGGACAAGGAGGCAAAACCTTGGTAGTCAGTCACAGGTGCCCTGCTTTTTCTTTTTCATCAGAATTAGAACTGAAAGTTGTGCTTTAAATACTTGCAGATTATATGAATTCCACACTGGGAACTTCGGTTTGAGGAGCTTGGCACTTTGAAGTCTTGCAAATAAGAAGCCCTGGGGCCGGGGAGATGTCTCAGTGGAATAAGTGCTTCCCTGGCAAGCTCAAGGGCCTGAGTTCAATCCTTGGTTCTGCCACAAAAAAAAGAAGAAGAAGAAGCCCTATTCCAGGGCCTGGGAGGTAGAGGGTCCTGAGTTCAATCCCTGGTACCACAGGAAAAAAAAAAAAAAAAAAAAAGAGTTCCTTGCTTGAGCAGGCCACTTTAGTCAGTGGACTAAAGCTCCTGCTTAGGCAGAGCTCAGGGACAGAAGTTTGATCCCTGGCCCCCAGGACGCCCTGAGACAGTAACTGAGACTGGACATGGTGGGGCGCACCTGTAATCCCAGCTCTTGGGAGGCTGAAAACAGGAGAATGACTATGAGTCCAATCTACGTAGTGAGACTCTGTGACTCTGTACCAAATACATACCAAAAAAAAAAAAAGAAAAAGAAAAAAAGAAAAAAAGAAGAAAGAAAGAAAGGAAAGAAAGCCTATTCCTTTGATTCACTCAACATTTCCCATGCTTTTGAAAATAAAAGAAAGTCCCTCAGAATGCACTTAGGGAAACGCTCCCTTAGCGTATACCCAGTCTTACCCTTCTCTGGCCAGCCGACGCTCACAGCATTTTCTGAGTGAGGTGGGTATAGAATAAGAAGGCGGTGATCCTCTCTCCCCCCACCACATTCAGCAAGCAGTTCCCGGGGCTCCCACAGTCCTCCGGAGAATTTTGCATATAAAAGCAAGTAAGTACTCAGAAGGACACAGCAGCAGCAGGCACTACACAGCGC